ATGTACAACTTGAGTTTATCGGACATGAAAGATCGAAGAATCGCTACAACTGTGTTTATGCGACGATCGAAAGATGAAAGAATGTACAACTTTGTGGTTTATGGACATGAAAGATGAAGAATGTACAACTTGAGTTTATGGACAATGAAAGATGAAGAATGTGACAACTTGTGTTTTAATGGACATTCGAAGAGGATCGAGAATGTACAACTTCGAGTTTATGGACATGAAAGATGAACGAGTGTACAACTTGAGTTTATGGACATGAAAATGACAGAGGTGGACAGACTTGCGAGTTTATGGACATGAAAGATTCGAAAGAATGTCGAAACTTGTGTTTATGCGCACATGAAACGATGAAAATGTACAACTTGTGTTTATGGCACATGAAAGATGAAGAATGCGTAGCAACTTGAGTTCTATGGACATCGAAAGATGAACGACGTGTACAACTGAGTCGTTATGGACATCGAAAGATGCAACGAGGTGTACAACTTGAGTTTATGGCGGACATGTAGAAGATGAAGAAATGTACAACTCTGGTTTTATACATCCGAAAAGTGAAGAATGTAAAACTTGTGTTTTATAGCGGGACATAAAGTGAAGAATGTCGAAACTTTCTGTCGTTTATGGAATTGAAAGATGAAGAATTGTACAACTTCGCTGTTTATGCGACCATGACAAGATGAAGAATGTACAACTTGAGTTTATGGACATGAAAATGAGAATTCGTACAACTTCGTGTTTATGGGCAATAAATTGAAGAATGTGAAATTGTGTTAATGGACATGAAAGATGAAAGAATCGTAAAAGTTGGTGTTATGGAATGAAGATGAAGAATGTAAAACTTGTGTTTTGCGACATCGAAAGGAAGAATGTAAACTTGTCGCTTTATGGACATCGAAAAGTGAAGATGTGAAGCTTCTGTTTATGGACATGATAAGATGGGAACGTTTGAAGTACTAAATTGCTCGACGGTTTCCCTTCTACTCATAGACTATGGATGTTGTTTCTTTGTTTTTTTTTTATCTTTATAGACACGAAACTACACTTTTCTAGGGTCGGCCCAACAACAACAAAAAAAGGGGGGGGCGCGCGTGAGGTAGGCTAGCAGTCTCTTCCCCCGCCCCGCGACACTCCCCAAATCGCGCATTTAATCGGGCTCTCTTGCCTCGCTTTCGCACTGCAAGCCCGTCGCCCGCAGAGACTAAACCGCCTCTCAGGCCCCCATCTTCAAACCGAAAAGGGTTTATATATGTTGCGATCCGTGGCGTGCAACCTTCGAGTTCTCTCTTTCGTGCGGCACTTCTTCCTCTATGTTTCTCCGAAAGGCACTGATATGACTCTTGGGGCTCCTTTGTGGCGACGAAAAAATATAGTGAAAATCGTTGCAATTTCGATGCGATTTGAGTTCCTCTCGTACCGACTGGGACGCCGGGAGCACCGACGATAATAGACCCGAGGCAGGAAGAGTTCTCCGGCCATTCAACTGTACAAGAGTGCGTTCAAACTTTTTTTTCAAGCGTTGCCAATTATTCTGCAACTCGATGGGCACAACTCCCAATTGCAAGTCCCACACTTCATGAAATGAGTTCATCGACATTGATCATTGTGCAGACTTAATTGAAATCGACCTCATAAAGTTTACAAAACTATGAACACATGAAAGAGGGAGTAGATGTCAAAGTCTCCATTCGCCAATGAAAATGAGCTGAGTGTACA